GGTATTCTTTGAAATTATGAAGTGACATATAGGTATGTTCTGCACAGAGCAATCCAGCCTTGCTGGGTGAGTGGGCTCAGACATCTGCACAGTATCATTCCCCTGTCACCAACTGATGGTGGTATAATTAGAAAAGTCATTAATCCTTGCTCAGCAGTGCTAGAAACTATTTATAGCAAGGTAGAAAGCCCTGCACATGGGGCTAGGTTGGGTATGGAAGTGGCTTCTGATGCCATGTGTGTTGTGGGGCACAAATCAAGAAGGTAATTTGCTTCCAGGAGGGAACTTCCCTTTCTGACCCCATGGAGACAGTGCAAAGTGTCTCCTCAGCCTGAGCTATCACCCTCTGGGCTGCCTGTGGGGAGTTGCTTTGGCCATCCTCTGCAGGTTTGTCACCCCACAGGCTCGGGGGTCCTGTTCTGTGCTGTCTGTACCTGCCCCTCTGCGGGCTGTCCTGCCAGACCACTGGTAGCCACAGGTCTGATTGCCCCAGCCATTCCTGTGCTGGCCCTGCAGCAGCAGAGCTCTGCTGAGCAAACTGGGAGCACATCTCCACCTCTGCACTGCTGCTCCGGGTGCCAGATTGCACCTGCATCCCCCCTCCTGCTCCTCACACCCAGACTCAGCCATCAGGGACCTTTTGAGATGCTTTGGCTGCTGAGGGCCCWTTGCTCACCTCTCTCCCCCCTTGGGGACTCCGGTGGCAGCTGTACAYGTTCATTTGGTGTGGTACTGCTCTCTCTCCAGATTGATGCTGCTGGTGTGGGCAGAGGTTGGTCCCTGGGTTTCRGAGCCAGAGGAGAAACTGGGGCACTGGTGATGCTCAGGGAGTCCCAGGGGAGGGAAGCTGCTGTTTACAGCCTTCCAGGACGAAGCTCAGCYTGGGCTAAGCTCCATGTTTTTCCTGTACAGGAGTCAATATTTCCACTYGAGGGGTTCCATCCTCTCCCAGCTTTGCCTTGGTGCCAGCCTCCTGCTGCCCGGGGCAGCTGCTSTAAGAAGGGTGGGAGGAACTCTGAACTTTCTGAAGCAGCAAAAGAGGCTGCAGTGCAGAACTGCTGGGTGCTGGACAGTGCTCGAGGAGCCTGAGGAGCTGGTGCAGAGGCAACCACTGCTTGGAAGGGGAGCCCTGCAGGCAGCTCCAGGAGTGGGTGCTGGCGAGGTGCTGGGGGAGCCATGGAGTGGTGCTGGGGTCAGCTGAGGTGGCATCGTTCAGAGAAATGCTCCCGTTGTCGAGTTAAACACTTCACTGGCTTTTGCCCAGTGAGGCACAAATCGCTTGTCTGTGTGCTGGCAGTCAGGCAGCAGTGTAACCACAAGGGAAATATGTTTCTGTCTGGGCTCACTGCATCTTCCAGGCTTTGCTGGAAGGATTTCTCAGAGAAAATGTAAAATTATTTTAGCTTCTGAGATTAGTGGACCAAGCCTTGCCCTCCTCAGGGATAGGACTGAAATCCCTCTCTGAGAGGCCTGATGGGCASCTGCCCCTCTCTGCTGCTGCGGAGGTGGCAAAGGGCCGGAGGGAGAGGACCTGTTGGAAATGGGGCACCTGCTGTTTCAGCATTGTGGGAAACCTCAGAGCTGCCTTTGGCTGTCAAAGGAACAGTCAGGCTCTGTGGTATGCCCATGGTGTGTCTGGATCATAAAAGGTGACCTCAGAAAYTGCATTTCCAAATATCTTCCCCTCTCTGGGAACGATGGCATTGTTCCCAGTGTTTCAGGCTGGGACTGCCTGGGGCTCTTTGTTCAAGCTCCCTGGGTGCTGCAATTCTAGCACAGAGCTAACGATGCTTTGCCAGAGCCTGAGATCCCGTGGATCAGCCTTCTGTTATCCCGAGGATTAAAACTGCAGTTGGGGATAAACTGATGATAAACTGTCTAGGGACATCCTGCAGGCACATTCAGCAATGTGACAGAGCCAGGGTCAGCCACTGCTTCAGGTTGTTTCAAGCACCACGAGCCAGAGGGAGGATCCATAAACCTCAGTGAAGAGGCACCGAATATTTGAAACAAGCTCAGTGAACTTTGTTTTGCAAAGAGCCTGCTGCTGCCTGCTCTGATTTCACTKCTCCATGTCAGGAAAGGAGACGTCCAGAGCGTATCAGTGCATGATGCTGCAGAGGACAATCTGAGAAGGGGCTGTCGCAAAGGTACAGGGACTGCCCAGGCCAATGAAGGCTGCTGACAGCAGTTCTCTGGGTGTTTGATGGGAAATTCAATTCTTCCCATAGCTGTGGACATCTCCTGTGAGGGAGAGAGGTTTGTACCTCCCTCTCTAGGCAGAGTAACCCAGGCCCAAGGAGAGCTGGAGATTGTCTCRGGGCAATGTGCAGTGCCCGGTGTGGCAGCGAGGGCACCAGCACTGAGCTGTGAGAGCAGAGCTCACACTGGCACCACTGCCTCTGTCCTGAGCAGCTGCTCCAGGGCCAGGACAGCCTGGTTGCCTTAGGGAGCTGTGTCCAGCAGGCCTGGAGTGTGTGCAGAGCCGGGCTGTGAGCTCTGGGAGTGGAATGCCCGTGCAGGGGGCACTGGAATGTCTGGAGAACTGGCCCGAGATGTTATCAGAGCGTTTCCTTCCCAGCCAGCGTCAGCTTGGCAAATTCACTCATCTTTCCTGGTCTCCTGCRTTCAGAGGCATCGTCAGAGGCAACACAGCGTGTCCAGAGCCTTTCCAGGAAGGAATCAGCTCCAGTTTGTGATTTGCTTTGTTCCATGTCTGTGGTAACCTCTCCTTCTTTGGAGAATAAGATTGTAAAGAGCTTTTGAAAATGATCAAACCCTTCAGCTTTGCTACTGTGATTAATCAATCACAGCTGCTGCTTTACAGCTCCTTGTTTTGATGTGTTTTGGGTTGTTCCAAAGTTAGCCCAGCTCAGGGCCARGAAATATATTCCTGAGCCCTGCAGGGTGCTGGGATGGAGCAAAAGCTGAGTTTTCAACATTATTTCCAGCACTTCTTGTGTTGATACTGCCATTCATTGCCAGGGAGCACAGGATGCTCCTAGGAATTAYATAATCCTAAAAAGATGTGAGGAAAAGATTTAAGAACCAGCTCTTTCCTGGATGGCAGCTGCATCATTGCAAACATTGTCTGATCTGCCCTTCTTAGCACTGAAGTATCTGAGACTCCAGGTGGCATCTCTAAGGAGTTTGTGTCAATTTTGGAGGCTTAGTTGCATGGCTTAAATGCTCCTTAGCACTTGTTTTTTTACAGCTAAAGACCAARCAGGATCATGAAGCTCAGATAGTTTGTAAAACTGCCGTCAAACAGATTAAGCTGGAAATAGAAAATTTGCTGGTGAAGTCTGTTCTGTTCTCTCTAATGCTTGTGTGATAKAGGGTGATTTAAAGCCCATTTCAGCACTGAGCTGAGGCCCCAGGTATCTGGTAGGAGAGTGGCATGGCTCATCCCTGCTGAGGGATGTCATGGGACTGAGCGAGGTGGAGCAGAGCCAGATTCACTGCCTYTGTCCTGGCTGTTGGCACAGCCTCACTCCTGGGAAGAGCAGGGCATGAGGTACAATGTCTCTGCTCCATCACATCCCCATTTCTTACCTCACCTGCAAAGCTCATCCGCTGGCAAAGGAGGTGCCYGACAACTCAGAGTGGGACACAAAGSCTCCCTGATACCAGCTATTCCTCATCCTCCTCTGTGTTGTAGGCTGAAAGAAGAATGCAAAGATGCTATTGCCACTGCGGGTGTGCATTGGCAGAGGGATGTGAATGGGACTGTGCTCACCTACAACCAGCACTTCTAGGACTGTCAGTCTGCATTCTGAAGTGTCTTTGCCTGAGGATATTGTGCCGGGATAGGAATAAAGATAAGGGAAATCCACCTTCTTTCCAGATRCAGGCATTACAAGATTCCAGAATGGGGAGAGAGCTTGGTTTGAGCCTGATCCTGCTCTGACCCTGGCCTGGGGCACTGCCTCCCCTGAGCCATGACCAAGCTCTGACTGAAGAGGAACCCATCCTTTCCCTTCAGTGTCTGCTCTCCTCCAGGAATCTGCTCCTGCCCATGCAGGGATCTGCCTCCCACTGTCCCCACGTGCTGTGTGTGGTGGGCGCCTGCAGTGCCAGGCATGCTCGCTCCATAAATCCTGGTATTAAAATGAGTGTGTCATCTGCAAAGTAAGAGTCTGGGAGTGTTACCCCTAGTGACTGTGAAACCCTTCACAACCTTTGCCAGGCAAACCAGATATGCACATCCTTCTGTTTTCACAGGGGTGAACAACAGACTCGTGGAATGGTTTGGGATGGAAGGGAAGGGATTGTAGAGATCAYCCAGKCCCAAGCCCCYGCCATGGGCAGGGACACCTTCCACCAGACCAGGTGTGTCCAAGTCCCGGCCAACCTGTCCTCGAACACTCCAGGGATGGGGCCGATGCTGTCTGGACAACCTGTGCCGTTGCCTCACCCCGTCACGGGGAGGAATCTCTTCACACATCTGACCCAAATCTCCCGTTATTCCGTTTAAAGACGTTCCCCTGCGCGCTGTCGCTCTCGGCCCGTGTCAGACCTGTCCCCCGGGTGGCGGCCAGTCCGGACGGCTCCGGGGGCTGAGGGGATGAGGGGATGAGGGGCTGAGGGGCTGAGGGGATGAGGGGATGAGGGGATGAGGGGCTGAGGGGATGAGGGGATGAGGGGATGAGGGGATGAGGGGATGAGGGGCTGAGGGGATGAGGGGATGAGGGGATGAGGGGCTGAGGGGATGAGGGGATGAGGGGATGAGGGGATGAGGGGCTGAGGGGATGAGGGGATGAGGGGATGAGGGGCTGAGGGGATGAGGGGATGAGGGGCTGCGGGGGCTGTGCTCCGAGAGCTGCGGGGGCTGAGGGGCTGAGGGGCCGGTGGCTGAGGGCTCGGGGGCTGAGGGGCTGGGGGCGCTCAGTCCTGCGGAGCGCGGCGGAGCCAATGGAGCCAATGGCGCTGCCGGGGAGGAGCCGCGGCCCCGGCCCGGCCCCGCCCGCCGCCCCCCGCAGCACTCGGCCTGGGTTCGCCGGAGCGGCGGCGGCGGAGCTGCTGCTGCGGCGGCCCCGGAGCCCGGGGGAGCGGCCCCGGTGCTCGGCTGGAGCGGCCCCGCCGCGCCCGAAGCACCGGCCCTGGGGTCAGTGGCCATCGCCCCCGGAGGCACCCGCTGGACGCGAAGGTACCGGGCACCGACCCGCCGGCAAGCGCGGGGTTGATGCGGGGATCTGTTGATGGGAGTTGGAGGAAAGTTTGCAGAGGAATCAGTCTGTCAATAGCGTGTCTGTGCGGGCGGTGGGAGGCGATCCTTCAGCGGCTGGGAGCGGCCRCCGGAGCGGTTTGGGCGATGGCAGCGCTGCTGCGGATGGGGCCGGGATGCGGGTCCGACCCGTCTGGAGCGGCGGCGATGCTCCCGTGCCATCCCCACAGCCCCGGGGTGACCGGGACACGCCRTGMGAGTGCTCCAGCCCCGCGCCAAGCSYTGGGGCTTTTCCCAGAGGAGTTCTATGAAATGCTGCATCCACCTGTGAGGGGGCGGCCGGCGGCAGCCAGGCCTCTGGGTGCAGGASTCTCGGGAAGCAGCCCCTGTGCTGATGGTTGTGCAGCTCGGCTGCTTTGGCGGAATGAATTCTGCACAGGCGGCCCCATGGTCCGGCGTGGCAGCGGCAGCTCCTGGGGCTGTTGGGCTACGAGCGTGGATGTCTGTCGATGCAGGAAAACAAGCCTGTTCTCTGTGTCGTTTGGGAAGTTTGGAGAACTTCCCAAGCCAGCAGGGCTTGGAGACCAGAACCACGATTCCAGAGAGGCAGCTGAGCTGCAGGCTGGGGCSGCCATCGGCGGGGACAGCTCTGAGCGACTGCAGCGGCTGTTGCAGCCGAAGGGATCGGTCCGTGCAGCGCCCTGGGGCTGCCTGGCCCCACGTGTTGCACTGGGGTGTCCCTCGGTCTGGGCCCAGCAAAGCTGTCCCTGACACGGCTGCTTTGGGCCGTGTGAGGGCTCTCGGAGCTCTCTGGGTCGCTGGCGGTTCGGGTACCTCAGTTAGTGACACCGGCATTGGGCAGTGCACCCGGGTTCCTGATGCTAATCATGGTTGGGTGGCTGCCTCTGGGACAGCTACACACTCACTGGAACCTCGTGCGATGCTGAAGTGACCTGAGTGTGCGGCGTTTGGTGAAGAACAAGATTTGTAGAGTGTTAAGTAAAAAATCACCTGTTTGCATTTTCTGCATGAGGTTGTGCTGTTTGCTCTTGCAGGAGCACGTGCATTCCCTCTGCCAAACACAACCCCCGGCCCAAAGGTGATTGGTGAGCAGGGGGATGCTGTTGGGCAGGAGCAGCTTGGAAAGGGGGATGCTGGACAGAGGCTGCAGCTTTGGGGCCCTCGCCATTCCCCAGGAAGAGGACAGTGACCTAGAGCATTGCCTGATGCTGCGCTGTGCTGTGGGGCGGGGAGTAGCAAGGACCTGATGAACAGCAAGAGGTGTTTTGCTAAAGGTTCCAGACAGTGACTCATCTACTGTAGGAAGGGACCGGATGGAAAAGCAGCGCAGGAGCTTTTTAGAGTACAAATGGGTCTTTCCCCCTGATTTTATCAGAAGCAGGAGGTCAGGAATCCTTTATTACTCKCAGAACCATGTTGACCTGTAGGTTATAAACCTCCTGATGCTAGTGTCCCTGTGCACCTCCTGCATCCCTGTCCCTGGGGAGTATCCTGCCTTCGGGACACATCCTAGAGTGGGACTGTTTCAAAATTTGGAGTGGTTTCCAACCCTTACAATTGTTTTTATCTGACCATTCTTCGTCTATTCTGAGTCACTCCAAATAATTGATTCTTGTCTGTACATTGCACCATGGTTCTGTGTGTGCCTGGCTGGCTGGGGTGTTTCCGAAGTCATTTGCCTTGTCTCTAAGTGGCTCAGTTTTAACTTTTCTCCTGCATCCAGCCTTCCTCCTTCATCCCGCCTTCCTCCTTCATCCAGCCTTCCTCCTTCATCCAGCCTTCCTCCTTCATCCAGCCTTCCTCCTTCATCCAGCCTTCCTCCATCGGGCTTTCCTGCGTTCTCCTGCCCTGGACAGCCCAGAGGAGGTGCAGGGCTGCTGCCTTTCACTTTCCCAGGTGTGCTGCACCCTGAGAGTTCTCCCTGGCTATTCACAGCATTGCTGACTGTCTCCACTTGTAACGGTGTCTGTGTAAGGAGTCGTTTTGCTGATATTTGCCTGGATTTGTTTTATTTGCTGCTCGCAGTTTGCAAAGGGATTTGTGCAGCCGGTTGGTCCTTGCTGACTGCGCGCCTTGCTCACAGTGAGCAGCTGGCTTCCTCTCTCTGGGGATTTATGACTTCTGCACTGCCTCTCCCCTTTTCATGCTGGGGCTTTACCTGGGRATGCTGGTGGTGGGTCTGGTCTGGCCGTGCATTTGTCATCCCTCCYTGCAGGGAGAGAGGAGAGATCCCCAAGCCCCCAACAGACAGCCCTTCTCCCTCATGTCAGTGGTTGAGGGCAGACAACAACKGTGGGGGCTTGCTGAGAATTATTCCTTTGCAAAAAGCAACTTTTGRCCAAAAGTCGGTGTGTTTTTGAGAACCATGAGTCTCTAATCATACSCTTTTCCATTGCAAGGTATTCTTTCACGTTTGGGAGGCCTCTTCAAACCCTCTTGGAAATGACTGTCGGGTCTGAGACAGGTCCTGGCGCTGGTCCTGGCTGATCCTTGCACTGGTGCCCCTGGACACCTTTAGATCTGGGCTTCTTGCCTTATCTGGGTTAAATTCCCAGGGAAAGAGGTGTGACTTGAGATCCAGAACTGGTTTGAGAGATCAGAACTGGGCCAATTTGTAGGCCAGAACGGGGCTCCAGGTGTCCCCAAGGGCAGATTTGGGTASAGAAAGAGTTGAAGGTCAGGGTTCCCACCTCCCTTCATTGCACAGGTGCCTTCCTCTGCTGAACACAGAGGGGTTTGTCTCCCTGACAGCTGCTGGGCAGGCAGCAGGACACATGTAAGAACAGCTTTATTATTCTTTCAAAGCATGGCAAACACCCCTTGCTGAGAAGTACTGGACCTGTGAGATGCAGACTGGGCTGCCCCCAGAAATAGCCGCAGTTTTTAGAAATGGGGAGAAATTTTCTCCGTTCTAAACCACCTCACCCTCTGAAGAGAGTGTTCACAATATCTGCATCCCCCAGAGGAAGGTTTAACAGAGCCAGGCTTTGCTGTAACCCTCAGGCACTGTGTGGGTGAGCCTGGATGAAAAAAATGGCTGAATGGGACAGTGCATCTTTGCCTCTCTGTTCAGTTCTCCTGCGATTTCCTGGATGCTTTGTTGGTACCACAGTCCATGTCCCTTGCCCTCAGGGAAGGCCATGCCAAGTGCTCTTTTGCAGAGCTGCTGGGATGGCAGGGGAACGTTCCAGCAGTGCACAGGCTGTGGGCACCTGTGGGATGGCAGGGGGACAGCACAGCAGTGCACAGGCTGTGGGTACCTGTGGGATGGCAGGGGGACATTCCAGCAGTGCACAGGCTGTGGGATGGCAGGGGGACATTCCAGCAGTGCACAGGCTGTGGGTACCTGTGGGATGGCAGGGGGACATTCCAGCAGTGCACAGGCTGTGGGTACCTGTGGGATGGCAGGGGGACAGCACAGCAGTGCACAGGCTGTGGGATGGCAGGGGGACAGCACAGCAGTGCACAGGCTGTGGGTACCTGTGGGATGGCAGGGGGACAGCCAGCAGTGCACAGGCTGTGGGTACCTGTGGGATGGCAGGGGGACATTCCAGCAGGGCACAGGCTGTGGGTACCTGTGGGTGCTGAGAGCTCCCTGTGCCCTGCTCAGGGCAGCACAAAGACTGATGCCCAAAGGCTGCCCTGCTCTGTCCTGGAGCAAGCTTGAGAGTTTTGGTTAAGGCAGATACATGAGTACATTTGTGAGTTCATTTAAAAAGTCAAGAGGAATTAAATATATATTTTTTTCTGGGCTGCAGCTTGTGTCAGAGCTGTGCACAGGAAAACAAAAGATTTTCYGGGGTGGCTCATGCTCTGCTGTCGCCTTGTGCCTGCTCAGCCTGGCTTGTGCACAAGAGCATTGGAGTCTTTGTGTTTCTTGTCACCTTGCAGTGGATGCAGGCAGTGGTTTCTGTTCTCCCTTTGCACCCTGTTCTGCTGACACCTGCATTTTCCTCAGCCCAGAGGTGTGAACGCTTTACCTGCCACCACCTCCTGCTCCTGCAGAGCCAAAGATGGCATTTTGCCGAGAGCCAGGGGAAGCTGTGCCACTCGCTTCTTCCTTAGTAACTAGAAAGGAATAAAGTAGCMGAGGGATCAGATTTTGAGAAAGACCCAGAGTTCCAAAATGCTCCCAGAGGATAGATCCCTAATTAGTCTCTAATTGCATTAGAGTTTAATTTGTTGTTGTTTTTACTGTAATGTTCCCATTTTCCTCGACAGTTTGCTTTGTTTCATTAACTAGAAATGGCTGGAGATGAATATTTGCAATATCAAAACTTGCCTGTTATGCAATGCTTGACAGATTTGAGGCCTTTGCTGTGCTGTCAGGGGACACGGGTGACTTTGCCAGCCCTGACTGTGYGCTACTCAAGCCTGGGGTGCCGTGCTCAGCCCATGGCAGCATCTTGCCTATACATGCAGTTCTGGCCCTGGGAGWTTTTATGGCTGTCCTGCTTCCAGGAGACATGGAAAGCTGAGCTGAGCTGTCCCCAGAGCAGCTCACAGCAGCTGCACTTCAAAAGACTTGTTTAATCCATTTCTCCCGAACACAGGGGGGAGCCGGTCTGGAAATGAAACTGGGGAGCTTCAAAAAGGGCTTTCAGGAGCTTCATTTAGAAAGCGACAGGGAAGAAGAATATTGCTGCTCTTAATTCCAAAGCAGGAATATATCTACTTTGCCTTGTTTAGGGGGAGATGGGGTAGAAGGCGTAGTTAAGCTTTGAGCTGCTTTTTGCCAATGCATCTTTGTTGGTGAAACAARTSCTGAAGGTGGGAGAGTGTAAATAAKCCTTTCCAGTCTATCAGCYGCAGCACTYGAGGCCCTGAGGTGTCATCTGTCTCCTGCTGTGATCTACTTGTCTGTGTGTCACATACATGTTACTTGTGTGTGTCACACAGGCACCTAAACCTGTGAGCTGGGTGTGATGGAGTGACGTGCACAGCTCTCACAAAGTGATGTG